CTTGCTCTTGTCGCCCAGGCTGGAGTGCAGTGGCACAAGCTCGGCTCACCACAGCCTCCGCTTCCTGGGTTCAAGCGATTCTCCTGCCTCAGCCTCCCGAGTAGCTGGGATTACACCCACCACACCGGGCTAATTTTTGTAATTTTAGTAGAGACAGGGTTTCGTCATGTTGGCCAGGCTGGTCTCAAACTCCTGACCTCGAGATCCGCCCTCCTTAGCCTCCCAAAGTGCTGGCATTACAGGCACGAGCCACCACACCCTGGCGTTGTTGTTTTTTGAGATGGAGTCTCGATCTGTCACCAGGCTGGAGTGCAGTGGCATGATCTTGGCTCACTGCAGCCTCCTACTCCCGGATTCAGGTGATTCTCCTGCCTCAGCTTCCCAAGCAGCTGGGGCTGCAAGTATGTGCCACCACGCCCAGCTCATTTTTGTTATTTTTAGTAGAGACCGGGTTTCACCATGTTGGCCAGGCTGGTCTCTATCTCCTGACCTCATGATCCGCCCGCCTCAGCCTCCCAAAGTGCTGGGATTACAGGCATGAGCTACCACGCCCAGCCTGGTATTTTTTTTCAGTGGTTCCAGTTTTACAGGACAGAACTAAAGGGTGAATTGAGAATTAAACATACTAACTATAAGTGAATATTATGTATCCTTTCTATTATCGGGTCTTTGACCTAACCTCTCGTGATTCCTCAGATTTCTAGTAAGGCCTGCTCGTGGTTTAGAATGGACTCTATAGCAAATTCTTTGGTAGTAGAAAACCTGTTAACAGATAGAGTTGTTGAACTGACAGGCTGGCCCTGAATTTGGATGTGCCACCATGGAGCACTTCCCTCACAAGAAGCTCATCTTAAGAGCAGTCATGAGAGTTAGCAGGGCATTTAACAACTGGATTTGTGGTGTAGTTACATTCAGGTCATTGTGTACAGTTAGTTCCTGGCTCAAGGATGGTATGAGTTCATTGGTCAGGTGACATTCAGGCTGATTTCTTCTGAGATGGCTCAGCATTCCAAATCTAGTACAGTGGTAAAATTTTTTAAAAAACATTAGTGCCGCCGGGCGCAGTGGCTCACGCTGGTAATCCTAGCACTTTGGGAGGCTGAGGTGGATGGATCGCCTGAGGTCAGGAGTTCAAGACCAGCCTGGCCATCATGATGAAACCCCATATTATATTTAAAAAAAAATTTTAAATAAAATAAAAAAAACACATTAGTGCCTTCATTCTGTTCTTGGCAGGTTGGTAAAGATTTTTAAATTCTGAAGCAGACTCTTTTGCCAAATAGAATTGAAAGACAGCTGTGCTTAACAGTGAGGATACTTTGCATAGCCTTCTAAGTGGCTAGGGAAATCTTCAAAAGTGATATCCTCAATTTGAGCCATCCCTAGTGGCTTTTGTGTTTTGGCTAATTAATCAGAAGCTCTAGTTTGGGAGTCCCTATACAGAAAAATTGGAATATTGACACTTCAGCATTTGCTAGTGCTGAACTTGATGAAAGAATATATAAATATACACGTTATCTCTTGGGTCCTAAAAGTAAGCCTCTAGATAGGCATTGCATGTGTTTTTAAGCAAAATTGACAGGGGAATTAAATGCAGTAGCTCAGAAATTGGGCTAAATCCAGAATAATAAACTAACTTTAAAAGCTCCGAAGTATATATTTAGATTTGGCTGGTTTTTTACCAATCTTGTTCCATTTTATTCCAGGAAACAACTTATTTTTATACTTTAAACAGATCTTTGGAGAGTGTACCAGAGATTTGTTCCTTAGGAGAATTTTGTGTATTCTTTTTTGGCATATGAATTTAAATGCCTCCTTCAGGGTACCTGTGGTAGGGCACTTATCTAAAAGGGAAGACAAAGCCTCTTGCATTTTGGCACTAACAGGATCTCTAGATAGTAACTGGCCTGGTGCAGTGCAAGACTCAGGAAGTCATCTGCCCTGCCACCCTTTCCAAATTCAGAGGCTGAGGTAATTTGTTGGAAATGACCGTCGAAAACTGGACTTCTGCTGGGTTTTCCCAAAAAAATAAGTAGAACTTTATCCTAGGCCTGGAATTGTAAATTTCTCGGAAAAAGAATAATGGACACCTGGCACAGAAAGTTGTACCCTGCGAACACTGAAGTTCCTCATGGTCATTAGTCTACTTGTTGCCGGCCTTTGTGGGCTTTCCCTTCCATCATGCACATCCAGCCTGATCAGAATTCAAGTCTTGCTTTTGTCGTTTGGCAAGCAGGCTCCGAGGATGCTTTCTGCCTTTCAGAAAAAGACAGGGACTTTATTCCTCCACTCTCATAGATGTCTTACTGCTAGTGGTGTGGACATATCAGCTGAGTACTGCAGAATGTCTGATGGAAGACATCATTTCAACGCTTATTCCATGAAAAGCAATAGGACCAGTAGTTATGCATTTGGAGATTAGCTTATGGTGAACTAGAATTCTTTTCATAGGCCGGGCGCGGTGGCTCACGCCTATAATCCCAGCACTTTGGGAGGCCGAGGCGGGTGGATCACGAGGTCAAGAGATCGAGACCATCCTGG